CATTCCTGCTAATTCGTTGATATAGATATTGAACAGTGTTGGGCTCAGGCTGCAGCCCTGTCTCACCCCACGGTGGTGTCTAACCCCTCTGCCCCCTCCTCTCTCCAGGACATTCCAGCCCCCGCCGCGCGAGGAGACGGAGGAGAGACTGTGGGGGTGCACCTTGCTCTGGATCACAGGGCCTCCTTCCAGAAAGCTGCTGCTCAGCCCTGGGAATTCTGGGAGTCCACCTCCCACTCTCTGTTTGCCCCAGATCCCTCTCACGCCCTCTGCCTCTCTCGCTGCCCCTCGCCGTTCACAAACAGAGCCACGCTATCTGCCCCTGCGCTGTTCGAGCGGGCCCCGTCTCTCCCCCTGCCCCCCTCTGCCCGGCGCGGGGCACCCGCGGGCAGTCCGCGGCTGCCGTGTGCGCTCGCGCGTTTTTTATTTTCATTTTAATTTGTGGGTGGGGACAGGCCGGGCCGCCTGGGCCCCTCCCCTCCACCCCTTCGTTTTTGAGAGGTTTCTCTGTGTTTGTGTCCTTTTTTTGTTTTTTTGTAACAAAATAAAAAAAATAAAGAAAAAGTAGAGAAATAAAGAGATTTCCTCTGAAGGAGAAGCATTCACTGTTGGAGACAATAAAAGACGTCAGATGTTTTTAGAGTTGTGGTCCTTGTGTCTCAGTGGCCGAGAGCTGGGGGCTGTGCTCAGGGTGACAGCAGTGTGCAGCAGTGATCCACTGATTAACACAACCACCTGCGGCTCAGTGACTGAATTAACCTCCTGCTGCACGGGTGAGCTGATCCACTTGCTAAAATAATCACACCTACACAGCTGAGCTGATCCAGTGACTGAATTAACCTCCTGCTGCTCAGGTGAGCTGATGCAGTTACTGCACTGACATGCAATACAGTTGAGGACAGGGCAGTCAGAGTGACCGTCTCTCAGTACCTGGACAGGGCAGTCAGAGTGACCGTGTCTCAGGGGTCAGTACCCGGACAGGGCAGTCAGAGTGACCGTGTCTCAGGGGTCAGTACCCGGACAGGGCAGTCAGGGTGACCGTGTCTCAGGGGTCAGTACCCGGACAGGGCTGTCAGGGTGACCGTGTCTCAGGGGTCAGTACCCGGCCAGGGCAGTCAGGGTGACCGTGTCTCTGGGGTCAGTACCTGGACAGGGCAGTCAGAGTGACCGTGTCTCAGTGTGTCGGTACCTGGACAGGGCAGTCAGGGTGACCGTGTCTCAGTGGGTCGGTACCTGGACAGGGCAGTCAGGGTGACCGTGTCTCAGTGGGTCAGTGCCTGGACAGGGCAGTCAGGGTGACCGTGACCCCTGGACCACAGCCTAGTAAATGTCGGCTCTCGGGCAGGAACAGACTCAGTGGTCGGCCGCTGTAAAGCCTCTTTACTCCAAAGTTGACATTGTTACAGTCTGACAAGATGATAACAGGTGTGAATATATACAGGTATAATCACACAGTACACACGGCTCGGAACCGCACACTCGGGCCCGAATCAGGAACACTGCCCCGCCGCGGCTCGGAACCGCACACACGGGCCCGAATCAGGAACACCACCCCGCCGCGGCTCGGAACCGCACACGGGCCTGTCTTCTGGAACACGGCCCCGCCGCGGCTCGGAACCGCACACGGGCCTGTCTTCTGGAACACGGCCCCGCCGCGGCTCGGAACCGCACACAGGCCCGAATCAAGAACACTGCCCCGCCGCGGCTCGGAACCGCACTCGGGCCTGTCTTCGGGAACACCGCCCCGCCGCGGCTCGGAACCGCACAC